TCTCACAACTGGTATTGAATTTTAATTTATCCACTAGCCTTTTGTAACAAAAAACATGGTATTTCAGGAAACACACCATCTTCAAGACTACCAGAAGTTTCATAGAGTCAACAAGATTGGAATGGCTATCTGTAGCTTCTAATTTTTTCCCCTAACATTAGTTTTTTCATTCTTAACTTGCTGATGTGTTATATGCTTCCTCACCAAACATATCACTTAGTCGGCTAAGTCATACCTTGAAGGTCTAGTAAAATGTTGAGATTCTAAGATCAAACCCTTTTCTACTGCAATCAATTAGATGATGCAACTATCAAGAAGGACGGACTGAAACCTCCTTCATAAAAAAATATAAAAAACGGACGGATTGAAGAAGATGCAACTATAAAGAAGAGACAGGATGAAAAATGGATATGAAGGAGAAAGTGGGGGAAAAATCCCACACACGTTACTGACCAAACTGAGAAAGACAGTGAGCTTATTCGTGTAGTAAAAAGGATTGCTATATGTAGCAGTAAACTAACCATCCAACCACTGAGACTACAGAGTAGTCAAGTTAAAAAAGCAAGGAATGAGCACTAGTGACAGAAATTACATCAGGTGAATTCTACATAACAGGGATTCAACAACCGGTAACCAGAATTTCCTACAGAGTGCAAAATGTTTATATGTTAACTACACTTTTGAATTAGCAAATAGGGGAAAATGCAATGCTAAAAGTTAGTCTCCCACGAACTGATGGTGGACAAGCCAAAGTCTAGAGAATCAGAATGCATAAAAGTAGAGTTTCCAAAATAAAACAATCCACTCATATGGAGAGAGAGAGAAAACAAATAAAAAAGAGTAACACTCTACTTCAATTTTTCAATCTACTAACTCTAACAGAGAAGGTTCAATTAAGCATGCGATGACTTAGAACTTGTTTTTTCAGCAGAAATTTCAACAAAAGGATTCAGGAATATCTCTACATTTGCTTATAGAACAAACTTAAAAAAATATGGGTGTCAAATTTTACTGAAGGTATGATAAAGGCCATATAAAAGATGATTTGGATTATTGTTGTTGAGACGGGCTTATTTACTATCTTTATGCATCTCAGCATGCATCCACGTGTTTGGGTGGGAAACTACCCTTCAGAACTCTTTCCTAATAAACTCCATTCACCAATATCAACAAACGAAAGGTATCAAGATAAAAGAATATTCAACTGCATGCATCCAATGTGATTTCAATGATAATAAGCTAATCAAACATTTTGTTCCATCTAACTAGCTTGAGCCTATCTGTAAATCAAAGACTTATTCTAGGTTTCAGAAGAAAAATGCACATAATGAAGCCCTTGCCCCAACCGCCTTTTGTCTTATGAAACAAACATACAACTGCTTAAGAGTTGTACAAAAAAGTAGTCGGGCTAATCGACGTTTCTGAAATTAGGCATTACCCCAATTTTTAAAGCTGTTCATCAATAGTTTTCATGACAAATTTGAACTACATGGACTGTTATCAGCATTAAAGGCTGAATTACTAAATAGCTCAACAAACGTTTAGCGATCCTTTACTGTTTGGAGATCCAGCTGCATAAAAGAAAATTGAGCAAAGAAAACTGCTAATATTCTTTTATCCTTAGGACTTCAAAGCCAAAGTACAGCCCCCGAGAAGGAGAAGACACACGCAACACAACCCAGCAGAAAAAAAAGGAAAAGAAAACACACTCAACATGGAAGCTCTAAAAGATTAAATCAGCTTAACATGGTTGGAAGTTAACCGACTTCATCAAAGGGATCAGAAGTAGTTGTCAATGGATAATAATTTCAGCATCTAGGTAACATCAGTTAGATCCCTATATTTACCTTTTATTAAAAAGAATTATTTGAGTACTGCAAAATCAGATCTCAAAAAAAAAAGGTCCATTGAGGCAAGAGCATTCAGTCTCTAGTCTTTGCGAATTAAACTGAATAGGAACTCGGTGCTGTTGAAGTGCTTATCAATAAATGCTTAGACTCGAGAATTAACAAATATCATTTTTGGTAAGGAAAACTTAACATATATCATATATTCATAAATAGAACTTGTTCAGTAGTTTGATGATCCCATAGAGTGGAAGTCCAATATTGATTTTTGCATGTGCCCACTTGTCTTATATTCATATATACATGGTACTACAGTCTAAACCTTGTTATTTGTACAGACTTATTAGAAAGCTTATCAGCTAGGCTGACCAAGTTTAATGGGTAAGAACACACATATCGGGCTAGAAGAGCATCAACTAAACATTTAACTAGATGAAAGTTGTGCGCAAAAATACCGGGGAAAAAAGGATGGGCGCAAAATTAAATAGCACAGGTTATCCAGAAGAACAATCCACTTTCTTTCCAAATTTATAGGATACTTCAACAGATGACCACTCCGAAACTTGTTTAGGCATTAGTCAATCCTGTATCTGTTAGAGGTACTTTGGTTTATATGTCCATTTGATATAACGCAATGTTTTCCAGTAAAATATTTATTATTTTCAAGTAGTTATATTAAACTGTTCAAATGTTTTGCACTACATAGCGGAGCATACTTATTTCCTTGTATAAGTCATTTACAGTACAATTCTGGCATTTGCTCCTAGGCATATGTAAACATCTATTTTCAATCTTTGTTACAAAAGCTGTGATGATCTAAACATCTATTTTCAATCTTTGTTACAAAAGCTGTGATGATCACTGAAGACCAGTCCTTACATCCCCATCCCTTCATTTGACTACTAGCACCTGCCACTGACATTATGATGCAAAAGTACCAGAAATAATAATTAACCAATGAATTTCCTTCGTAAAAGTTTTCTACAGAAAGTACGACTATAACTAACCAGACAAAGCCACAATTATGGCAAGGATATGAAAACCTCAATTCTGATGCCAAAAGTCACAGAGTATGATGTATCACGGCATTGAGTGAACAAAATCAATAATATTAGAAGCGGAATAATAACCACAACAGGAGTGACTCCATCAATAGAACTGAAATCATTAATGAAATACTTCAGAAACTAGATATTTCTCAAGCAGGTACAAACTTTCCCAAGCCTCAACTTCTTAATCTCTCTAAATTATTATTCTATTCCTCGGTTTTATTTCAAGCAATCACATGAAAATGACAATGGAACAACAGGAAAAGTAAGCATGGAATACCTGACTTTTCAAGCAATCACATGAAAATGACAATGGAATAACAGGAAAAGTAAGCATGGAATACCTGACTTGATTCCAATAACATTTGTTGTTGTTGTTGTTGCTAAGGGAAGTTTAATAAGTTAAAATAACTTCATTGATGATACACCAAGTGAATGTTTCTATATATTGTGAGTCTACATGAAAGCTCCAAAAAAAATCATCCATCTGTCTATACAATATGGGGAAATCCTTTCTACAACAAATGAGCTTTTTGTTTTTTTGAATAACCGAGAAATCCCCGTGAATCAGTGGCGCAAGGTTAGAAAGCTGGAGGATAATTGACATGCCCCTCTACCCTTCTCCACTTAAATACCAGGCTTTTGTCTGTGCTAGGTTCAAACCCGTGACGTATGCCTAACCCACACATCACAAGCTACACTCTTACCACTATACCAAAGGCCTGGGGCTTCTACAATAAATGAGCTTTTGATTCTCCACAATGGACTTTTGACCCCAATATATCTTCTAACATTCATTTCTCTCCAAATCATCTAAAATGTGCATGGAGGGGCAACATTCTATAACTCCATTTTCCAAGGTAACACCCAGGCCATATTGAACTTAGAGTGCCGCCATTGCTCATGGAGAAGCTGCAATGTACCAGTATATGGTCCATATTCTGACCATTGGCCTTGAATAATAACACTCCAGCTAACTACTATATGTCTTCTACTTCTCCAGTTGTTTGTCATTAGAATACCACTCCAAGCTGCATACCATGTGAAAAAAGCTTTATTAGGTGCCTCCGTCTTCCGTTGGTCTAGAGTCACTGTCCACGATCAAGTATCAACTACTCATAGTATGACTTCATCAAGAATAACTTCATAGATAATCCCCCCTACAACACTTTTCTTTTTTGTGTCAAAGGCATAATCCAGAACCATTCTTGCCAAAAAAGCTATAGTATATTCAGGAAGTCACGATAACTGCCAGAACAATTTTCGGCAAGCTTCTAGAGCTCACCGTGCAGCTAGGAAGATTTAAAAAGCTTCGAGAGCAGCGACGAATCCTTTCTAAGAAACCCACCCTGCCATGTGTTGATCAAGCTTGTCGGAGTACAATGTCATCAAAAGCAAAATGCAAGAAGAACACTAGAAACTTCAACACTAAGATCTACTGGGGCTTTAACTGCTTAACCTCAATAAAATGCGGGCTTTAATGAAAAAGGGAAGGTTCAAATGAAAAAAATGAAAAAGTATACATGTAATTCAAAGATAATAAATATAAACACGAACAACAATTATGAATAGAGGGAATTGAAAAAAGTTATAATCATGCGAAATAGTTATTGCTTACTTGTTGTGCACTTCATTATAGAACTCTTGGGTGAGATGCACACCTTAGCGCTATTGATGCCTAGACTGAAGCACTGTCTAAGCGAAGCTTGTTGCACCTTGCTTCGAGGTTTAAGCGTTTCAAGTGACACAGAGCCAGAGTTGTGCCCATTCTGGCGCCTGACACAATTTCTGACATCCTTTCTTGCCGCACTTCACTTGAATGGCTCGCCTGAATACAATGATCCATCCTAACTATAATCCACCCTTTGGCTCTATTCTAGCAAAACTGAGATTATACCAGTCAACTCCTTTGACGATGTCAATCCTTCATTCCTTCCATGTTACATCTCACTTTTCGATTAAGTTTGTTTCAGCTTCTTTTCTTCAGTTTTGATTTGATCTACTTCTCTCCAAGTTCTTTGAAGCAATTCTCTCCAACTTGGTTAAACCTGTTTCTGCGCAGTACTATCTGGCTTGCGTGAAGCTATTCCCTTCAATGCAACACGTCAATGAGGAATGCCCTTCTTCAAAAGAAAATCTTCAATGCAACATACAGTTCAGCATTGGTGCTCCATTAGTTGGTTCTAACCCATTTTCAGAAGTTGAGACTACCTAAGTGTGTAAATAAGTCTTAATATGGTACGAGACCAGGCATGGTTTCTGATTTCAAGTTTCAGACCACCTTAAAGAAGTTACCACATGCTTCGACCATGAAATACATCAGGATTCAAGCCCGCAAATGCAGGAGTGTATTAAAGACAAAATTGAGTAAATAAAAAGTCTCATCTCTAAAAGCTTTAAACTTTTAGATAAAGTGGTTAGAGAATTAAATGTTCTGTATTAATGTATAAGGCTTTACAAATTTTATTGGCATCATCAAACTTCACAAGCCTCCTATATATATGTATGAAAACAAATAGCATCCATCTCTTCTAAGAAGCTCAGCTACTATGGCCTCCTTATTCATCATAATATAGAACAAGCGAGGAGACTTGTCTTTCAGAGTTGAACTTCCACACCAGACATCCTACCAGAAATCAGATTCCTTACCTGACCGTAAAGCCTATATGTACTAGGGAATACAATTAGTCCTACTTATACAAAAGAGGGAAACTTTGATATGTGTATTATAAACGGAGCCACCTAGTGTTTTAGGAGATAAAAGTGTTAAAACATGATAATCTGTTCAGTTTGTGGACACTTCATTGGTTCTTTAAAGAGGCCAAGTCTTGTTCTTTCTGAAAACTAAACAAGCAAAGGGCAAAAAAAGAAAAAAAGTGGAACCATCTAGCCAGAACATGAGAAAGGAACAGTATCAGTCCTTTTCAAGTAAACATGAGATTTTTTTTTAATCATTTTATTCAATCATCTGAGCACTAATTCTTCCAAAATTACAAGGTAAATAATCACTTGAATACTTAAATACTTTAAGCAACAAATGGCCAATGTTCAAACATTTATCCAAAGTTCAAACCGACCAATTGGAAGTTTTTCTTTAATCTTTTCCGGTTAGGAGATTGGAAATGTTTAGTTTAATGATAACCATGTATCATTATACAAATCAACTTACTTTAAAACATTTGAATCTACAACATGAACGTGACTATAAGAAAGAAGAGGAGGGCTCCCTTAAATCTCTTACCCTTTATGGTAAAAGCAAAAATACAACAATTACAACTAGTTTTCAAGTTGCATCACCATGAAAGAATTGTATGGTAAAGCATATACTTGAAATGGACGTGGAATAGTCAACAAGTATTCCCATGAAATATACAAGTCATATATTGCCTCAGGACAGAGTACATACAAAGTGCAGCTGGTGACTTCCTAAACAATGCCGTGCTGACTCACAATTTTGAAGCATTGAACATCAAAACACTAAGGATTACCCCATCAGCGCGAAAGTTCATCCAGTTAAAGCTTCTTTTGACGTAACACTAAGGCAAGGGAATGAATCTTTAGCAAATTCCCACCTAGTATCATCTCACGCCCTCGAGGACGCCTTCCAATTCCCTTCGTCCAAATGTCCTCCCAACTGCAGAGGCATCCCTACGCCTTGCAGCCAAGTAAAATATTAACCAAGCTACCATGAAATAAACTTCCATAACAGACTGAAATGCCAGTGCAAACACTTCTCCAAATATTCGACCCAATATCCATCTCGTAAACGACCCACAAACCAAAACTTCCCAGCACTTGATCCCCATAGCAGGATACACCATGATACCCAACAAACGACAACCTTCTTTGACAACTTCTCTACCACTTTTCCTCGAGTCCACAATCGAAACCCAAGAATCGACAGCAAAAATAAACCCCACTACCAACTCCACCAAGAACCACGAGACAACAAAACACAAGCTTTCCTTCTCATGCCCTGTAACCCACGGCGCCACATCCGAAAAGGGCATCAATTTCATCCTCACAAAAACCTTAAAAAACACATATTGATCCTCAATTTCTCCAAAAACCCAAATACCCAACAGCTGAGCTAAAGCATCCCTAACTGCCCACCTCATCAAAACAAACCCAGAAAGCCTTCTTAACCCCAAATTAGAACCTTCCCAAGCAGTCCTAAAAATTGACCTGTAATTCCCTAACACATTATCCAACACTTGCAAGAAAATAATCCCATGAACCCAAGTGTAAGTAACCAAAAAAGCCAACACCACATAAGCATAAGCAGCTGATAACAAACTAACAAGAAACAACAATGCCGTGGCGTCACGGCGACCCAATTCAAGACCCTTTATTAAGAACTGCAAATCAACAACCCCATTTTCATTTTCAGTTTCATTTTCATTTTCAGGATTATTATCAAGATGGGTCAAATTTTGGGCTTTTTCTAAAGGGGGCTTGAAAGAAACAAGCCCATTACGAATTGCTTGAGGGAATAAAATCCCATTATCAATAATATGATTTGAAAACCCTAAATTAGGGTCAAAATCGGAAAGAATTAGGAAAGTGGAATTGGGCTGAGGTTTAGGGTTAGGATGAAATAGTGATTTGTCAAGGTCCGAATCACCGGAGAAGAAATCATCATCAAGGGTACCAACACGGGATAAGTGAAGGAAAGGGCGGCGGCGATGACGGCGGAGGTCACGACGTAGGTGGTGGTGGTGTTGAGTTTGAGTACTGGCGGAGAGGAGGTCAATACGAGATACTAGGGATTTGAGAGAAGGGTCACGATCGATGAATGAAGTGAGATAGTGGGTCCCATTTTCGACATTGGAACGAAAAGTGAGGATTAGGGATGAAAGGAGAAGGAAAAGGAGGAGGTTGGAGGTGAAGATAGTGGTGGTTTGTTTGAGGATTTGGGTTGCTATTTGATGGTCTATTGATGGTGGTTGTGGTGGTTGTGGTGGTTGACGGTGGTGATTGTGGTGGTTCATGGTGGTTGATTGGTTGATGATAAAAGTTTGATTTTATTCCGGTGGGAATGGGTTTAATTGGAGATTGATAGGGGGTGGAAATGGTCAATTTGAGAACATTTGGGGTGTAGAAGTGAAAACTTTTGGATCGAGTTATTAATATAGCTTGGGAAGAAAAAATTAATATTTGAAAGAAGTAATATACCGTCGACCCAAAAATGGAAAGGGTATGAGGAACAGCACAGCTCATATAATAGAATATCCACTACAATGTATTCAATAGCATTAGTTTTTTCATAGTTAAGTATTTACTAATTCCGTCTCAAATTATCTGTCATAATTATTAAAAATTATAGGTTTTAAAAAATAAATTAAATATTTTTTTCTATTCTACCCTTTTTATTAATTATTCTTGAAAACTACAAATATTTTAATTATAAGTAAGTATTAAATGAAGAGAGATTATATCTTAAGACATAAATAAGGGTAAAATAGTCAAAAATATTTTTTATTTAATATTTTCTTAAGAGGTGTGTAAAAGATAAACACCACAGATAATTTAAGACGGAGAAAGTAAAATTTTAGAAAAATTTATATTGATTGAAAGAAATACACTTAGCAGTTACTCTATATATTTTATTTCTAGAAAGACGGTATTTATTAATGCTCCATTTTATTTTAGATGGCATTATTCTTTTATTAACTAGTCCTGCTCTCTAGAGTAGAATGAGCAGTTGGTGTTAAAAGTTTATTCAACCAACTAGAAATATGTACACCACCTGCTCATTATACTCTAGAGATAGTTCCCATAGGAGCTCTCTTACTATCTTCATTATTTCAATGCCACAAGAACCTCCTGTAAATACTGGTTACTAATAGCTTTGTGTGATGACCCAAAAGGTCTTCTTATATTTTAAAACTCGATTATGCGCTCTTAAGCCTTAAAAATCTTATTTTTATCCTTCTCGATTTGCGTGCGCAGTCCGGGCGTGCTTCCTGAAAGCTCTTATGTTGAAAATTGATGAAAATAATAATGTTTGCCTTTAAAAGTTGATTTAGTTGACTTCAGTCAACGTTTTAAGTAAACGGACCCGGACTCGTGTTTTGACAGTCCTGGTGGGTCCGTATCGAAATATTGGACCTGTGCGTATGCCTGGAATCGAATTCCAAGGTCCCTAGCTCAAGAAATGAATTTTTAATGAAAATTGAAAGTCTAATGGTTTTAAGAATTTGGTTAATATTTGATCTCGTTGGTATCGGGTCCGTATTTTGGTTCCGGAGCCCGGAACAGGTTCATTATGATATTTAAGACTTGTCTGTGAAATTTGGTGAGAAACGGAGTTGGTTTGACGTGATTCGGACGTCCGGTTGAGAAAATAGAAATTTTAAAGTATTCTTGAGAATTTCATTTGATTTGGTGCTAAATTCGTAGTTCTAGGTGTTATTTTGGCGATTTGATCGCGCGAGCAAGTTTGTATGATGTTTTAAGACTTGTGTGCATGTTTGGTTTGGAGCCCCGAGGCCTCGGGTGAGTTTCGGATAGGCTACGGAGTGTTTTGAACTTGGAATTTCTGGTGGTGTTCTTTAGGTATGCAGACTTCGTATTTGCAAGGTCTGGCTCGCAAATGCGAGCCTCGCATTTGCGAAGGATTAACCACAATTGCGAGCAATTGGGCTGGTAGGCGGACTTCGCATTTGCGAAGATCAGGATCGCAATTGCGATCACCTCAAGTCGCATTTGCAAACAATAGTTCGCATTTGCGAAGGCAACAGAGATGCGAGGAGTTCGCATTTGTGAAGCTTTTCTCGCAATTGCGAAGCTCAGGTCGCAAATGCGACATCTGCAACTGTTCAAAACTTAAGTTTGACGGGATTTTCTCCCATTCTTCACATTTTTCAAATCCTAGAACCCTAGAGGCGATTCCCCCAAGACCAATTCTTCCCCAAAACTTTGGTAAGTGATCCTAACCCACTTTCTTTCAATTTCTCATCACATTTCATGAATTTTCAACCTAAAATTTAGGATTTCCATGGTAGAAATTGGGGGTTTGGGTAGATTTCGGAATTTTTGGGAAATTGGAATTTAGACCTCAAATTGGGTCGGATTTCAAAACTAATTACATATTCGGGCTCAGGGGTGAATGGGTGAATGGATTTTAGTCTGAACCTCGAGTTTTGACCAAGCAGGCCCGGGGTCGGTTTTTGACTTTTTGGGAGAAAGTTTGAGAAAACTAAATTTATGCACTGTTGTTAGTTCCTTTAGCAATAATTGATGTTATTGAGTTAATTGTGGCTAGATACGAGTGGTTTGGAGGTGGATACTAGAGGAAAAGCGGTAATTGAGCATTGAATGGCCCGTGAAGCGAGGTAAGTGTTGTGTCTAACTTTGACTCGAGTGATTAGGAATCCTTGACTTATTTGCTATATGAAATCCATGTGAGCAGTGTATAGGTGAGGTGACGAGTACCTATGCACCTCCAATTTATCTGTTTTGCCTGTTTTCTTCCCGTTCTTCTTATATTGTCTTTTCCTGCCTTAACTGATACATGCTTTACTTGTAATTCCATGCCTAGTTGCTACTTGTTAGACATTATATCTTTTGTTGGAAGTGTTAGTTCTTTCGTAGCTTCGTTGTCCCCTATTATTGTTTGAGTTGTTTATTGGTATTTTCAAGGCATATTATGGATTGGTCTCGCTGAGTAGTATTACTTGTGTAAAGTCTCGTAGTGTATAATCTTCTAAATGCTTTGGTTTGATGTTGAGCCTTGTGAAGAGTTATGTGATTTGAATTGTGTAATTTCTGTACTTCCTGAGTAAACGATATTGATATGGTGGGATCAGGTTGCGCGCCACAACAGGTGTAATAAGGGTGGATTGTGGTGAGATAGGGGTGAACTGTGATTGTGATTATTGTGATTCGGTGGGATCGGGTTGCACGCCGCAACGGGTATAATAAGGGTGGATTGTGGTGAAATGAGGATGAAGTGTGATTGTGATTATTGTGATATGGTGGGATCGGGTTGCACGCCGCAACAATCTTTATGCTTATGTTTTCCTTGACTGTGTTAGCTGAACGGTAGTCTTAAACTGTACTTAAGGATTGGTTATAGCTGAGCACTGATGATATGTTTCGAGAACTGTATTCATTCCTTGTAAGTTACTGCTTTATTTTATCCTGTCCTTCTTTCTGCTTTTGTTATACATTGTATGCAGGTTATATTGTAAATGCCCCGCCGTAGCCTCGTTACTACCTCATCGAGGTTAGGTGCAATACTTACCAGTACATGGGGTCGGTTGTACTGATACTGCACTCTGCATTTTCTATGCAGATTTTGGAGCAGGTAGTGGCTGATCGAGAGGTTGGTTGCAGATTTTTACAACTAGGAGATCCAAGGATCCTGCTGGCGTCCACGGGCCCTGGTGTCCCCTTCTATACTCCTACATTTACTGTTTTTTACTTCCCTTCATAAACAGTTGTATCTTCTTTCGAACAAATATTTGTGGCAAATCTTAGTGTGTTCGTGGATTATGACACCGGATTCTGGGTAGTAATAGTAATAGTATTGGTAATAGTATATAAACAAAGAGGCTATTTACTTACTTCCGCATTTATTTTTTACTGGTTTTAGCTTGTTTATTGTTAATCACTAAAACGTAAAGGGTTTGGCTAATTAAAACTCTAACGTTGGCTTGCCTAGCAAGTGTGATATTAGGCGTCATCACGGTCCCAATGGTGGAGATTCCTGGTCATGACAAGTTGGTATCAGAGCACTAGGTTTCCTAGGTCTCACAATTCAGGAACAAGCTTAGTAGAGTCTGAGGGATCGGTACGGAGACGTCTGTGCTTATCCCCCAGAGGCTACAGAGTTTAGGAACAATTTCACTTCTATTCTTCTCTGTCGTGCGATTTTGTTCTCTCAATGCTAATTGAACTCTCTACTCTTGTTCTTTGGCAGATGGCGAGAACACGTACCGCTTTTTCAGTTGAGCAGCAGCAGAGCGCCCAGTGGCAGCTCCTACGAGGGTAGAGGCCGAGGCCGAGGCCGTGCTAGAGGTCAAGGCAGGGGCAGGGCTCAGCCCAGAGCTCGAGCAGTAGCACCAGCGGCGGAGCCTCAGATAGAGTTTGATGAGGAGGCTCCAGCCCAGACCGTTCCAGCAGGGCCAGCTCAGGTTCCAGAGGGGTTCATCGCTACCCCGGTACTTTAGGATGCTTTGGTCCGTCTAGTGGGCCTCATGGAGAGTGTGGCACAGGCCGGCACATTTCCTGTAGCACCAGCCGTCTCTCAGGCTGGGGGAGGAGCACAGTCACCCGCTACCCACCCTCCGGAGAAGATGACTCCTCAGTTTCAGACTCCAGCAGCTCAGCCCGTTTGGGTAGTTTTGCCGAGTGTTGCAGCACAAACCGGTGATGGGTCGGTTATGTCTTCTGAGGCTTTGTGGAGATTGGATAGGATTACCAAGCTTTTCCCAGTTCACTATAGCGGTGCATCTTTAGAGGATCCCTAGGACTATCTGGACAGCTGTCACGAGGTGTTACGGAACATGGGGATAGTAAAGACCATTGGGGTCGACTTTGCTGCATTTTGTCTGTCGGGATCCGCCAAGAAATGGTGGAGGGATTATATGTTGGCCAGACCAGCTGGGTCTCCTGCTCTTACTTGGGACCAGTTCTCTCAGTTATTCCTTGAGAAGTTCCTTCCTATCACTTAGAGAGAGGACTATCGGAGGCAGTTCGAGCATCTGCAGCAGGGTTCTATGACTGTCACTCAGTACGAGACTCGATTTGTGAATCTGGCTCGTCATGCTATTCTCCTGCTTCCTACCGAGAGAGAGAGAGAGAGGGGGTGAGGAGGTTTATTGAGGGACTTGCTCAGCCTATCAGATTGCAGATAGCTGAGGAGACTGGAGTGAGTTTTCTTTCCAGGATGCAGCCAATGTTGCCAGGCGAGTTAAGATGGTTTTAGCTTAGGGGAGTGGTCAGGGGTCTGACAAGAGGCCGCATCACTCTGGTGGATTTAGTGGGGCCTCATCTGGAGGTCGAGGTACTTTTGGTAGAGGCCATCCTCCCAGGCCGTTTCATTCAGCACTCCAGGCATCCCATGGTGCTTCAGGTGGTCGTGGTCCTCACATGCCTTATTCAGATCAGCTAGCCTACAGTGCACTACCAGCTCCTATCAGTGCACCTCCTATTCAGGGTTATTACCATGGT